AAGACAAAATTGATCTATAAAACTGGAACTATATATCAAATAAGGGAAGTATAAAAGTGAATGAAAGAAACTGGGTTGGTGGGCAGTGTCTCCGTGTGGTCCTCCACATAGGTGCCAGGGCTGTGCCTGCCTCTATGCCGTCCACCTATGGCCCAGACCAGATTTCTACCTCACAGAACATACGTGGCAAGCCTGTGGAATTCAGAAAACTTGTGGTTCTCTCCTTTCAATATGAGGTTCCCAGGGACTGAACTCAGGTCTCCAGGCTTGGCAGCAGGCAGCTTCGACCACTGAGCCATCTCACCAGCCTGTTCTGTCTCCTGATTCAGTGCCTCCTGTTTCCAGGCTGACCTCAGACTTGCTGTACAACTCCTGATCTTTCTGTCTCCATTCCCAAGTGATAGTATCTCTGGTGTGTTCAACCACATTCATTTTTTTTTTGCTGTGTTGGGGATTGAATTCACACTAGGCAAGCACTCCACCAAGTGAGCTACATTGCTAACGTGCACCCATAACTTTAATGATGATGTCTATCCTCAACAGAGCAAAAACCATTTGCTTTGATGTTTAAATCGGTGGCTGAGTGACGAGTTGCTGATGAATCACAAGTACTTTGTACTTGATACAACACTTACAGATCAATCTAGGTACAAGGCTGGGCTTCACCAACTTTAGTCCAGAAAATGAACTTTTATGTGTATTTGGGCTAATTAAGTTCATGGTTGCCAACTGGGAAGAATTATTAAGAAATTAAGGTATTAATCAGAGTGGTAATTAAGTGTTGCCTAAGAAACACTCATGTTCTCTACATAAATACTTCCTGATATTGAAGTAAAGAGAAGTGAATGTCAATGAGAGCTCTTTCATGTAAGTAATGGCAGACCTTTGTATTCTGTCTCTCCCTAGGAAAAATGTCTTCAGTGTTTGGAACCTTCATAGTTCCTTAGTCCAATGTTAAAACTATCGTTTATCAAATATCAAATATCAAATAATGGTGATTGGGATTAATTGTAGTAGAAATGAATTCACAATGTGATTGTTCTTTGTTGGGAGTTCCGTGCTAAGTAGCTAATTTTCACCAAATACTTGAGATGAATACTTTGATAGGATAGAAAGATTAAGTGAGTTAGTATAGTCACCTCCATATTAGTGAAGCCCAAAGGAGGAACCAAACACAGAGGTCTCTGAGATGATCAGACACTACCTCAACTCTCGCTATATATAATAGTAGTACCTCTAGAGACCAAACAAACACTTTGTGTTAGCACCTTAAAAACATTCTTTTATTATTTTAAAGTTGTGTTTCTGTGTGTAGGTATGGATATGTACTCATGAGTGCATATGCCCATAGAGGTCAGGGGCATCAGGTAGCTGTGGAGCTGGGGTTACAGTGACTGTGAGCATCCTGGTGTGGGTGCTCTTTATTCAGACAGGTTATTGTAAAATAACTATAAATTTTTAATTTATAATTAATGCCAGCTAATAATGGCATTTATGATACTTTTCAATGAAGTGTTTTCATGTTATATATGTAAGTATATATTAAATATTCTTTATTAAGCCTTCTTTGGGGAGTCAACAAAGTCTGGCATAGCAGGTTGAGGCAGGACCAAGCTCTTCCCTGTATCAAGGCTGAGCATTATATCCCACCTTAGGAAATGGGCTCCACAAGTCAGTTCATGCACCCGGGATAGGTCCTAATCCCATGGCCAGATCAAGTCACAAAACTGTCACCCACGCTCAGATGGCCTAGTTCAGTCCCATACAGGTTTCCCAGGTGTCAATCCAGAGTCCATGAGCTCCCACTTGCTCCGGTAGGCTGTCTCTGTAGTTTTCCCCATCATGATCTTGACCCCCACTTGCTCATATGATCCCTCCTCTCTCTCTTCGACTGAACTCCAGGAGCTCAGTCCAGTGCTTGGCTGTGGGTCACTGCATCCGCTTCCATCAGTTACTGGATGTGGATTCTATGATGATGGTTAGGATAGGCACTAATCTGATTTAAGAGGGTCCACCCTCTTGACTATTGCTAGGAGTCTTAGCTGGGGTTATCCTGTGGATTCCTAGGAATTTCCCTAATTTTATAGTTATTTTACAATAACCTGTCTGAATAAAGAGCACCCACACCAGGATGCTCACAGTCACTGTAACCCCAGCTCCACGGCTATCTGATGTCCCTGACCTCTATGGGTATATGCACTCATGAGTACATAGCCATACCTACACACAGACACACAATTTTAAAATAATAAAAAAAAGTTTTTTTAAGATAATGTGCTAACACAAAGTGTTTGTTTGGTCTGTAGAGGTACTACTATTATATATAGTGAGAGTTGAGGTAGAGGTGGGTTAGGTTTCTCCCTAGCCCCATAATGGCTACCTCTATCAAGATATCTCTTTCATTGCTCTTCCCCTTAATTCTTCCCCCATTTGGCTATCTAGATCCCACATGTTCCCATCCCCCATCCCCTCCCTTCTACTCTGCCTCCCAGTTTACCCAGGAGATCTTAACTATTTTCTCTTCCTGGAGTCCTCCAGGTAGGTTCCTCTCAGGGTCCTCCTTTTTACTTAGCTTCTCTGGGGTTTTGGATTGTAGGCTGGTTATTCTTTGGATCTAATATATACTTATGAGTGAGTACATACTGTGTTTTTCTTTCTGGGTCTGGGTTACCTCACTCAGGATGGTTTTTTCTAGTTCCATCCATTTGTCTGAAAATTTTATGATGTCACTGTTTACTCCTGAGTAATACTCCATTGTGTAAATGTACCACATTTTTTTTAAATACATTCTTTGGTTAAGGGACATCTAGGCTGTTTCCAGGTTCTGGCTATTATGAATAATGTTGCTATGAACATAGTTGAGCAAATATCCTTGTAGTATGATTGTGCATTCTTTGGGTATATGCCCAAGAGTTCTATTGCTGTGTCTTGAGGTAGGTTGATTCCCAATTTTCTGAGAAACTGTCATACTGATCGCCAAAATAGCTGAACGTTTGAACTTCCACAAGCAATAGAAGATTGTTCCCCTTACTCCACATCCTCTCTAGCATAAGCTATCATCAGTGTTTTTGATCTTAGCCATTCTGATAGGTGTAAGATGGTATCTCAAAATCACTTTGATTTGCATTTCCCCGATGGCTAAGGATGCTGAGCAATTCCTTAGATGTTGTTTTGGCCACTTGTCTATATTGTTAGATATTAGGATAGCTATACTAGCTTGTTTCATAGGTCCATCCAATTGGAATGTCTTTTCCCAACCCTTACTCTGAAGTAATATTTGTCTTGAGGTTGAGGTGTGTTTCTTGTATGAAGCAGAAGGATGGTCCTGTTTTCACATCCACTCTGATAGCCTGTGAATTTTTATAGGTGAATTGAGTCCATTGATATTAAGGATATTAATGACTGGTGATTGTTAATACCTGTTATAGTTGGTTTTGTTGGTGGCAGTAGTAATGTTTGTGTGTTTCACTTCCTTGGAGTTTGCTGGTTTGAGGTTCTCTGGTGCCTATGTTTTTGTGGGTGCAGCTAATTTCCTTGGGTTGGAGTTTTCTTTCTGCACTTTCTATAGGGCTGGATTTGTGGATAGATTGGATTTGTGGATAGATATTGTTTAAATTTGGTTTTGTCATAGAATATCTTGTTTTCTCTGTCTATGATGATTGAAAGCTTTGCTGGGTATAGTAGTCTGGGCTTGCATTCCTGGTCTGCATAGTAACTGCAGAGCGTCTGTAGCACCTACTGACTTTCAGAGTTTCCATTGAGAAGTTGGATGAAATTTTGATAGGTCTGTTTTTATATATTACTTGGCCTTTTTCTTTTGCAGCTCAGAATTCTTTCTTTATTCTGTATGTTTAGTGTTTTGGTTGTTATATGGTTATGGGCCTTTTTTTTTGCTGAATATATTTTCTGTGCCTTTGAGTTGATGTTCTCCTTTTTCTCTCCTATTGTTTTTAGGTTTGGTCTTTTCATGGTGTCCCAGATTTCCTGGATGTTTTGTGTTAAGAATTTGTTGGATTTAACATTTTTTTGGAATGATAAATCTATTTCCTTTATCGTATCTTCAACACACGAGATTCTCTCTTCCATCTCTTGCATTCTGTTGGTTATCTTGCATCTGTAGTTCCTGTTCGTTTACTTAGATTTCCCATTTCCAGAGTTCCCTTGATTTGTGTTTTCTTTATTGCCTCTATTTTGTTTTTTAAGTCTTGTATTGTTTCCTTCACTTGTTTGATTGTTTTTTTCTTGGTTTTAAGGGATTTCTTCCAATATTTTGTTTATTCTTTCCTCCATATCCTTAAGGAAATTTTAAGGGCCTCTCTCATATTCATAAAGTTATTTTTTTCACAGTGTTAAACAGACTTTTATAGGCGTGACTTTATTATCCATCCTTTAAGTAACTTATCAGTTTAAATTTGGTCCTGAAAATGTTTGAGCTTTTATTATCCCCTTTACTAACCACCTCTTACACTTTAATTTTTAAAACATCAAGTCTTTGAAAAATCAGTTGTCTGTTATTTAAAACATTTGGCACTTCTTGCCTTAACAACTTCAAAAACCACACACATAAAACTTCATACAGTGGCCAAGTTTCATCTTATTGTGACGTTTACCCATTTGATTTCTGTAATTATATATAGTTCTGTCATTTAAAATATATCACTTAAATCTACATTTCAAGAATGATCTTTAGGGGTAACTAAGTATATTTTCTGTGGAGTTATTTCTGACAATATTTTTCAGAACATTGGAATATTTTATACTCTTGTGAGTTCAAAGTCTGTTTTCTGAAACTTTCTGTATATACTTATAAAATTTTTTGTATGATTTTGTNATCATCTTTGGGAAAAGCGATTCAGCTGTGAGGACAATGGCCTTCAAACAGGCACTACAGCCCTAAGCTACAGGACCATTACAAAAAATGATGTTAAACAGCAATGTACAAACATGCCGTAAATGTTTTAATAGACTTTGGCTTCTCTTCAAACTGTCTCCTTCATAGTCAAAACTGTCTTTTTCATCGTCAAAACAAACAAACAAAAAATGTTGAAACCACTTAATAAACTTACACACTTGAAAAATTAGACACTTCAGTTAGGCAACAAAATTCATATTATGAAAGCAATATATTCTAAATTTCAAAGACGTGACAAGTTCTGTAGAGTATCTCTCAGAAGATGGAAGCTTTCAAACTCCATGATCTTCTTGCCAGGTAGGACTATGGCATCATTCGCTAGTTTGAGGCCGAATCCATTTCAAGGCATGTCTTGGTGGTACAGTAATGGTGGGGTGGTAAAATGTGCAGTCTGGTCTTGTACACTGAGTATTAAACCTACAGTGTTTTGGGTGGTAGAAGGGACATTCCATTTTCTTACAAGCTGGGAAGTAACGGCAGAGCTGACCATTAGAAGATGGTGCTGGTGATGAGAAGTCAGTACTGGAATTCTTCTACTGATGTGTGTGAAGAGACAATCTGGTTTAGTACACTTTGCATCATATTTACAGTTTGGATGCACAAACAAACATTTTTCAGCAAATTTACAATTGGGAAAGGCTTTGCAAGGTGAAATGGGATGATGGTATACACACTCATCCCCATTTTTACAAGCAGACCAGTACTTGCAACGTTCCAGAAGCTTTTCTGGTTTTTGTGCCACACTCGGGTCAGTCATCTCAGCTGGGCTCATCTCCATTGTCTGTACCACTACTGGGTCAATCTGCAGTCGGGATAAAAACTGCCTCTGCTGAGTGCCTTGAATTTTTTCTGTACCATCTCCTTTTGCTTCCTCCTCTTTAACAGGAGGACTTATTCTGGGGGCCCTGCTTTGCCCCTGGACCATTTCCACTAGCAATTCTTCTTGAGAAGTTTGAGTTCTGGGAGCAACTGGAAGTGTCTGTTTCTGTGGAACTGCAGAATAGTTAGTTGTTTTTGTGACAGACTCTTGAGCTTCAGAGATAGCCTTCAAAATGAGGTTCTTGTTAGCTTGTTTAGAAGGTGGAAGAGAAGGTCTCCTCTCAGGCTTTGCTGGCACCGACACACTGCTGGACAAACTTCCTATCCGGGAGCCATAATCCTCATCTTCCTCTTCCTCTTCTCCATCATGACTGAATCTTTTTACTTTTACAACTGAACTTACCACAGGCAACTTTCTCTTCCGAAAGTTTTCGTCCTCAATACTCATCTTATCCAAGTTGTTTCTGAAGAAGGGGCTGTAAGTGTCGTCTACGCTGCTCAGCACTTCTGGTTCACATAAGCGTCCTTCTTCGTACACCTGGCTGCTCTGCACATCCAGCTGCTTGGCAGCGTGAGTACTGTTTTGCTGCTGATGAAGTTGCAGCCTGTTTATATGAGTGCTAGTGTCTGCATTTCTACTTGCAGGTGGCCGATAAATTTCAATAGAAGGGCGAGAAGAACCATACGTAAGTGTCACTGTAGGTTTTCTCTGAGATAAGGGATTCTCCTGCACAAAATTAAGGTCTTCATCAATGAGATCATCTGGTTCTGGCTTGATATCAATCACATATTCAGAGGGTGCTGGCTCCCTTAGAGGTTTCACTGTTGACATTAGCCGGGTTGAAGCTCCACCATCATAAGAATGTCTGACATTAGTGGATTTCTGTTCCTGCGAACTTGTAGAAACTCTGGAATCTCTTTTTTTCAGGCCTAGAGCTAGAAACAGCAAGGGGAGGGACTGCAGCTTCAGGCCGTCTCTCATCTCCTCGACTAAAGCTGCTCTTGTTTGAAGGCACGTTACTATCAAAGATGCTGGTGTCTGAAGACTTGAGACTAGAGGGCTCAGTTGTAACAGAGCGAAGTTTATCTAATACACCATGGAGCCATACGGT